CAAGATTCAAAGAGGGAAGGAAAGAAGGAAAAAACAAAGCAAACATGTGCAGAAAAGCCAGTGTGCCGTGTAGAGCAATATGTTTGCCAATCCCGTTGCCTTTTACCACGAAGCCTAGTAGAGGCATTGTTGCTTTAGGAAAGAAGCGAGGACAAGAAAAGAGGAAGTTTAACGAGGAAAGAAAAGGGAAACAGAACAAACAAAAGGCAGGAAAAAGAAGCGCTGAGAAGAACAAAATGACACAGAAAAAATAACAAAACATATTTATTAGAAACATTATTAGACAATACTAGAAGTTGTTTTTTCATTTATTTTCAGACGAATATTTCAAAGCGGTGCTTGGAGGCAGCTTTGCTGGTCCTTGTCGAGAAGCTCGGCTGTCCGGACCCTGAACTCCAACGCCTGAAGCTGAGGTTTCTTCATTATTTTTTTGTGTTATTCCTTTTAACAGCCCGTTTTGGTTAAAGTTATGTGTTTTTTGGTTAAAGTTCGTGGTTTTTTTCTTTTTAAAACTCTGCATGTTTTAAAACAAATTGTTTAACTATTTAAGCGCGCGTCTTCCTATTTTAAGCGCCTGGCCCCTTCCTACCGAAGACAAAACGTAGAGGAAGAAAAAGGACGAACATGCCACTCAATTTGGCGCACACGCACTCAAAACCAAGTGAGGCGTAACGTCACATCAAAATACATTGAGACAAGCGTCATTGGTTTTGAAGTATTTGGACGAGAAGTCACAAAGAATTTGAGCCAACTAGGGTTGTAACCCTTTAGACCCTCGAATGTAGAATCAATTTAGGATTCAAATCAGAGTCAGTTGGAACGATCTTTACAATGAAGTATGTTTGTTTGTTTGAATCAAAAGATTGTTGGAAACTATATGCCCCAATTCAATAGGGTTCAATCGAAGACAACATAGAAATAGTTTTAATATAGGTTCGGGATAAACCAAAGTTTAGTCATAGAACTAGAGTTGCGTTGGAATAGCTCGGATTGGAAATAATTGGAATTTGTGATTTACGACAACATTAAAACCGTGGAACTGGAATGACCAAATAAGCAGGCAAGTAACACATAGTAAAATCGTAGAACCCACTTTGAGTGTTCTTGTTGGTTTGTTTATGTTTGTTGGTCATCAGATGTCTGCACACTTACATGTACAGCGTAAATGTCACGTGAATGCATGTTTCACTCCAGCCGTAGGTCGGAGGCCATTGCTATTAGGTTGGAGGCCCTCCGCTGGTGGCAGAGCTGTGGCTGTAGGAGCCCAGATGCCTCACTTCGGATTGCAGGAAGGTAGGTCCGCTTCAGTTTTGGCGCCGGAGACCCGAGTAAAGGCACATCATGGACTGCATGACCCAAGGCTTGCAATTGAAATCCGCAGCAGTAGTTGCCGTACACCGGCAGTTATTAAGTTGAAGGAAGGAAGGAAGTCAGGCAGGCAGGAAGGAAGGAAGGAAGGACAAGGAAGGACAGGGAAGTCGTCATAGCAGTAGCACTGGCTGTGGATGTTGTTGTTGCCATCTACTGAGAAAGATTAAGTCTTTGCGAGCAGTAGTTTTTGACGGCTAGTCTTGCAACAAGGACCTTGAATCAACGGCATTCTTGTCAAAAGCATTCCAATAAGTAGACCTTGCAGCAACTTAGAAGACGGGAAGGTGAAAAAGCTTTGCCATTTCAATTCACAGTGGGCAAAACCTAGAATCAAACAATTAATTAATTGTTGTCGCCAGTGTCAGGCAGCAGGCATTTTTTTGCGATGATAGGTTTGGATTTGTTTCTTGTTTGTGTGCCCCTGGTTTCCTTGCGAAAAAGAAATTGCTCACCCCCACTCTGTGGGTGATGTCGCAACCCTGTTCAGCTTAGGCAGGTGTTGGCAAGCTGCTAGGGCGCCCTGCGACGCAATGGCTTTCAGCAAGTGCCCTACCGCCCTTTTCAAGTGTTCGAGGTCTTAGTTTCCAATAATTGTAATTATATATCCACAGTTGTTCAGGTTGGCAAACTTGTTCGGGCATGTGCCTTCGAATATATCATAACATCCGGCGTGGGAGCTGCTGCGCAGGTTGATTAATTGAATCGGACTTGTGGTTTTGTTCCTGTGAGAGGTACTGGTGCTCCGGGATCAGAAAGCACGCAACACTGGAGTTCACTCGTGACCGCAAGTCAATGAGCGTTTTGTGCGCTGATGCGCAGGCCAGAGACTGAGTTGCAATTTTGGCTACAGAAGACCCAACCACGTTCTATTAGACGGTTTCAACCAAGGCATATCTGAAAAAAAGGAAATTGGACGCTTCTAGGTTGGAAGCCATCACTCTTAGGTTGGAGACATAAGTAGCGAGTAGGAAGAGGTAAGTAGTAAGGACAGGAGCGCCCCTAGTAGAGCATCCTTGCTCCTAGTAGCGATGCCAGGAGCCCCTAGTAGCTTCTTGTTACTAGTAGCTATTTGTTCCTAGTAGTAAGGCCAGGAGCCCCTAGTAGCATCCTTGCTCCTAGTAGCGATGCCCGTTGTTCCTCGTTGGAGGAAGCTAGTCCGGTCCTCTACGTCAAGGGCGCGCCCGAAAGCATTTTAGAGAGATGCACCCGTGACTCGGCAAGCAATTACCGCCCGCGAGCGACAGGCTGTTCGCGTCTCCTTCCGCCTCCAAGCTCAATTGGCCATTCAGATCCGTTCAGCCTGCCTAGATGGTGTTTCTGCAAGAATGTTGCGGAAAAAAATGCCTTACTAGTAGTAACAAGAAGCTACTAGTAACAAGTGCCACGCTACTAGGAACAGGTGCCTTACTAGTAGTAACAATGTTTGCTATTAGGAACAAGTTCAATCATGAACTCAAACATGTTCACTCACTCCTCGTATCAGTTTTCTATCCTGTTACATCAGTATCTACATATCCCCCCTCCTCGAAAATGGAGGATCGAGGGGGGGTACCTTTAGGAATTCCATTTTAATATTCCATTTGCACAGCCAACATGTGTCCAGTTTTATCTCCGCGTGGCCCCGAGTAATTTTGACAAGCGACGCGGTTGAATGGGAAAGAGGCTTCAGCAAGCTCACTGAATACAAGTCTGAGCATGGAGATGCCAGGGTGCCCACCAGATTCAAGACTTTTGATGGCTTTCCGCTTGGGCAGTAGATTGAGACACAGGGAAAGAAAAAAAAAGTGCCCAGATCGTGTGAACCGCCTGAATTCACTTGACCACGCTGGCATGATTGAATATGATGGTCTTGCTTTGAATGTAGCCAAAAATCCAAAAAAACCAGGAGCATCGCTTACGCCCCGCGGGCGTAAGCAACGCGACCTTTTGGACGGCACCGCGGTCCCACTGCTCGGAGCTCCCTGAGGGTCCGCATCGCTTACGCCCCGCGGGCGTAAGCAACGCGTCCACGCAGTGTATTAGGCAACGCGTCCACGCAATGTAAATCAAGGTCTGTTTCTTTGACTTAACGCTCGATGTAACAAGATATACAACCCAACGCTCGCTTGTTTTGCACTTCGAAATACCAGATACCTGGACCCCTATCCAATGCTGTTTTTGTTCTCGACCAGAAACAGGACGCTGCCCAAAAGAGGCCAAAAAGATGACGCCAAAAGATCAAAAACACAACCCAAACGATGCAAAATATGATGCAGAAAGTGCAAAGCAGGTTGGGTAAGTGCAGGCTGGTGCTATGGACGACACTGAATATCACTGGATCTAGACCGTTGCTAATGCATCATCAGGGTCAAAAATGGATAATCCATTTTCTGTTGGGGGTCCGACCCCCCCACCCCCTCGCGTAGCAGGGATATCTACATCATTGAATGTCCATGTGTTCGAAAAGAAGTGCAAAAGAACGAGGTGTCGACGACTTCACATCGGCACCTGGGCCTTTTGCACTGAGGCATTCTGTTGCCAACTGGCATTGAGATCTTGACTGAAGCTGGCCGCCAGGAAGGGACATGAAACAAAGTCGTTTTCATGAAGCAGCCGTTGACCGAATAGCGAGGGCCTCCAACCTACTAGCGTCCTTGCTCCTAGTAGCGGTGCCCTTTGCTCCGAGTAGCGATGGAACAACCAAGGCTCATGAAGACTCCAGATGTGTTGGTCGGACTTCTCTGTGAGGCAATACATGGCCACCTGGAAGACTTGGGCTCAGAGGCTTTGCGGCCATTGGCCTTGGCCATAAGGAGTGGCATCTTGGAGATGATTGGGGCACAGTTGTAAAACATCCAGACTAGACTTGACTAGAGTTGTTTGGCTTCCCCAGTGGCAATGGCCTCCAATCGAATAGTGATGGCCTCCAACCTACTAGACTTGACTAGGCCTTTCATATTGTTCTTTTGATTTTCCTCCGTGTTCTGTTTTGGTTTTCAACGACCTCTAATGTCAATTGTGCTAAGCAATTGTGTGATCTTGTCACACTCTGTGAAGAGATTGTAGGATTCCCTCCTTTTTGAGGTTCGGACATACAGCTGAGCGAGGAGTTCAGCGACTTTCAGCTCAAAGCAGGGGAATGGTGCAGAAGAAACGGAAAAATATGCAAAAGGAAAAAGGAAAGAAACAAGAAAAAGGAAGACAGAAAAGATCTCAAGGTCTAAAGAAACAAAGTAATCAACAAAAACAAAGGGGAAGAGAAAGATGCGAACAAAAAGAATCAACAAAATCCAGCAGATGCCAACTACCGAGAGCTAAGGATCCCGCCCACTTCCTCAAGGCCAGAAAGCCGAGTGCACCGAATCAATTGGAGAGCAAGGGCTTCGCGAGAAGACTATAGCAATGGCCTCCAACCTACTAGTGATGGCCTCCAACCTAAAAGCTCGTGCTTTGGCGATTGAAACCTTTTGAGGCTTTTGATTATTATGTCTAGTTTTCTCTATTTGTTTGGACTTTTGGAGATCTCCTTTTTGGTTGTTGGGTTCCTTTTTTTCCTCCTGCACTTTTCTGAGGAAAAGGGTTCAGCAATCAGATCCGAGAAAAGTGTTTCTTGCCAGGGCCAGGTGGTTTTGTGCTTGGTGTGACCGCGCAGCTTATGAAGGCTCAAAATACGCTGGCTTTACGGTGGCATGTTTTGCCGTAGCAGCGCTGCTTGGACAAAGGCAGGAACCTGGAGTTGTAGTTAATTTCCCTGAAAATCTAGGAACCAAAATGACTAGTGCAAGCGTGAGCTATCCTGCATCCAGTTACTAGAAGCTTGAGTAGCTGGTAGCTTACTCCTTTACTTGAGTAAGTAGGAGCGGGCGTTAAAAAAGACGACTCAAAAACACACTACTAGGAGCATTCTCACTACTAGTAACAAGAAGCCACTAGGGGCTCCTGGCCTTACTACTAGGAGCAAGGACGCTACTAGGGGCTCCTGGCATCGCTACTAGGAGCATTCTTACCACTAGCAATAAGAAGCCACTCACACCATTTTTGCAGAATGATGTCTTGCAAGAGAATATCATGGGAGCAGCCGAGGTAGCCAAGCGCCATTTAGTCTGGACACGCTTGGTGTCTAGCAGGAGGGGAGGATGTTTCTGTGGTATTCCAGACCTGTGACTAACTATCAGTTAATTGGTTTGCAAAGTGTTTGGTCTTGCAGAAAGACACCCGTCAATTTGGACAGTAGCTGCAATTATACAACGAAAAGGTCAGAGCTGCTTGCAAACCGTGACCTACATGCTTAAAAGTAGCACAGACACGGAAATCCGCCATAAAGATACATTTCGGATCATTTCTGTATAGATGCAGAAAACCTGAAAGGAATGCAAAAAGAAGTATATATATAGATAGATGAATGAAGTGAGATGATGAATGATGCGACAAGTGTCCAGAAACGCTCAATAAGCCACTTTATGCCGTACTGAGGTCTTAAACATGTTTGGATGCAAAAATAGCAAGTCCAAAAGTCTAAGAAAACAAAGCTGCTGTGAGCCACTATGCGTTCTTCACAACATTCTAAGGCCTTAAGGATGCCCTGGTCCCATGCAATTTAAACTCTTCCTTCTCTTCATTTTTCTTGAAGCCTTTAAAGTTTAAAGCTTTCGCTATTAGGTTGGAGGCCATCGCTTAGGTTGGAGCCCATCGCTATTAGGTTGGAGGCCATCGCTAGTAGGTTGGAGGCCATCGCTAGTAGGTTGGAGGCCATGGCTAGTAGGTTGGAGGCCATCGCTATTAGGTTGGAGGCCATTGCTATTAGGTTGGAGGCCATCGCTAGTAGGTTGGAGGCCATTAGTAGGTCGGAGGCCATCGCTATTAGGTTCGAGGCCATTGGTAGTAGGTTGGAGGCCATCGCTAGTAGGTTGGAGGCCATTGCTATTAGGTTGGAGAGGCCATCGCTTTTAGGTTGGAGGCCATCGCTCTTAGGTTGGAGGCCATCGCTACTAGGTTGGAGGCCATCGCTATTAGGCTGAGGCCATCCCTATGATGTTGGAGGCCATCGCTTCTGGGTTGGAGGCCATCCCTATACATGAGGTGGAGGCCATCGCTATTAGGTTGGAGCCCATCGCTATTAGGTTGTTGCCCATTGCTATGAGGTTGGAGGCCATCGCTATTAGGTGGTTGGAGCCCATCGCTATTAGGTTGTTTCCCATTGCTATGAGGTTGGAGGCCATCGCTATTAGGTGGTTGGAGCCCATCGCTATTAGGTTGTTCCCCATTGCTATGAGGTTGGAGGCCATCGCTATTAGGTGGTTGGAGCCCATCGCTATTAGGTTGTTGCCCATTGCTATGAGGTTGGAGGCCATCGCTATAAGGTGGTTGGAGCCCATCGTTATTAGGTTGTTGCCCATTGCTATTAGGTTGGAGGCCATCGCTATTAGGTGATTGGAGGCCATCGCTAGTAGCTTGGAGGCCATATAGTAGGTTGGAGGCCATCGCTATTAGGTTGGAGGCCATTGCTATTGGGTTGGAGGCCGTCGCTAGTAGGTTGGAGGCCATCGCTAGTAGGTTGGAGGCCATCGCTGTTAGGTTGGAGGCCATTGCTATTAGGTTGGAGGCCATCGCTAGTAGGTTGGAGGCCATCGCTAT